AAAAAAAAAAAAAAAGAAAGAAAGAAAGCAAGCATTTATAGCTGGGTAGTGGTGGCACACACCTTTAATCTCAGCATTTAGGAGGCAGCAGCAGGTGGATCTCTAAACTCAAGGCCCTCCTGGACTACACACTGAGTTCCAGGACAGCTACACAGAGAAACCCTGTCTCGAAAACAAAAACACCATACACACACACACACACACAAAAACAAACAAACAAACCAAACCAAAACCACAAAGAGAATGGCATTCACTCTTGAATTAGACCATTCACCCATAGGTTTTCTCCAGAATCATCTTTTGGGCTCTATGACAATGTACACACACAGAGAATTAGATGTTTTCAAGACAGGTACCAGGAACACCTATTGTAACTCAGACACAGACCCACAAACATGGTATATAGCACTGTGCATTTAGAAAGTTGTGGGCTTGTTTGATTTTTTTTGTCTACAAATCTTTAATGCCTGACACATACAACGTACCTATAAATAGTAGGATGGATGAGCTAGTTATGTGTTGGGGTGCCTGCTCCGCCCATGTGGCAGCCATATTGTAGGAGATACTCAGGTGGCCATTCCCTGTGATACAGACCCAACTAGGTCAGGCATAGGAACAAAGGGCAGTCCAGTCTGCCTAATAACTTATGCCCCAGATCTTCTTCAAAATACAGACTCCTCTTTACACTGATTTCATGGAAGAGAGCAAAGACCAAGGATTCAGAAGCTGGAGCAGCTACAGGGTCCATGAAAGAATCAAGACTCAGAGCAAAAAGAAAGGACAGCCAGTTCAGAGAAAGACTGGAGAAGGGAACTGATGAGGCCAGCTGTAAGGAGGTGTGGGGACGCTGCCATCTGTCTGGCTTGTCATCAGAGGCATCATCAGTGCTTATGAACTTCTTCCCCTTGATTAAACTTGTATTGTTTAGCTCCTTTTTCAAAATGAGCCTGACTTGGACACAAGCCCCGTGGATTAAAAATTACCAACATTTTCCAAGTATCTCACTGGCTACCAGAGTGCCTGTCCCCAAAGAACTATGGAGATAAAGCATACAAAGCCTTAACTTGGTGCAAAGGCCTATTCTGTTTCCATGTCCTAAAGCATCTCCTGCCTGTTCCCAACGAAGCTCTTCCCCTTCTGCTGTGTCCACCTCAGTGCAGTTCCCCAGTCTCTGCCCGTCCTACCATAGTCAGCATGTAGTCTGTCTCCACTCCTGGTTTACTGCTCTTCAGGATCCACTTTCTCTTGGAAACCTTCCCTACTCTCTCAATATAGGTGAAGTCAAACTCCCCTCTTCTGCTCCCAACAACACAAACATCTATATTTGTCCAATCTGTACTGTCAAGGCCAATGTTTTTGTCTTCTGATCAAGAACATCTCGTGGATTTTTCTACTGCTCCAGCCCCAAACAACTCTTCTGTGGACACACCCTAGGAATACATGCCCTTTTGTTTTCTTTGCAGCTCCTAATCCCTACTAGAACCTCTGAGGTCCCTTCATTAGGTTTTGGTTGAAGAAGAACAGATCTCCCATTTTTGCCAGCCCCAAGAAAAACGTTGTTCTTTTCCTTTTTAGTGGTTTTTCCTTTACTCACTGCTAGGAAACAAAAAGAAAACAGAAACAATTAAGGCAGAGAAAAAAACAATGCTCTTATCAGTCCAAAGTCATGGACTCCTTTCGAATAGGAACTTAATGGACTTCATTTGGTGTGCTCACGCTCTGGCCTTTGTTTTGGTTTTGGTGCTGCTGGTAGTAGAACCCAGCACCTCCTGCATGGGAGGCAAAGGTTCTACCAATGCATGACAGAAGCAGCTCCAGGCTTTTCTTCCTTTTTCTTTTTTGGTTTTATGAGACAGGTCTTTCTATGTAGCCATGGCTATCCTAGAACTCAGAGATACACCTGTCTCTGCCTCTGAGTGCTGGGATCAAGGGTGTGCACCACCACACCTGGCCTGTTTTTATTTCTTGAAGAAGTTAACTTGCTCTCTGTATCTATACCTAAGGCAAAAGTTTTATAACCTACTTTTCAGAAGCTGCTCTTCCAGGCTTGAAGCTGGATTTGAGCCGAGGTACAGCCACACTGAAACAGCAGCACTCCACAGGCTCAAGCTGCCCGATTTATGTCTAGACTAAGTGACACTGGGTTAGCTTTCCAAGCTTCTTCCTGTCCAAGTATTTTCCAAGACCACTGAACTAGGCTAATTTTGTGCAGGTAGGAACTTGATCTAATTCTCCACTATATCTCTAGCATCAGACACAAACACAAAACAAACATGTCTTAATTAATGGATCTCCAAAATCAAAATGATATCAAATTGGGTGGTTTAGAAACACTTAAGAAAGGTCAAAAGCTAATGACAGAATCAAGGCTAGCCTCCAAAAACACAGATCTGAAAACTAAGTTTATCAAAGCTGGTACTGTAGTTGCTGAGAGAGCATCTTAATAACAAGAAAGGTAAGTAGACCTAGTGAACTGGTGAGTCCAACGACCACCCTCTACAGTCATCTCCAGCTCTGGTCACACTCACAGACGCAGAGCCCACGCTTTAAAGGTCAGAGCTCCTTGTCAATCTGTGTCCATCAGATCATACGACTGCACTTACTGGAGGCTGCACTTGGAGAATGATTCTGGGTAATTTCGGGGACACGTGATAAAGAGTGCAGACTCCAAATGTGGAACAATAGTCTACAAACTGCAGGGTTTTCACGTGAAAACCCAAAATGATAAAACCAAAACTAAGGGCAAAGGTCTTTAATTGCTAATTTCTAATGAAATCGGGCTTTTATTTCTTTTTCTGCAAAGTTAGAAGGTAGGCATTAAAAGACCCTACTCCTTACAACAGCTAATAGTTACAAGTAATTAACCACCCAGCAAAATATTGATAAATTCATGAATGAAGCTGAAGAGAAATCCTGAGCTGGCCCCTTAGGGTGTCTTACACTAGTTACTTAGCTTTGAAGAGCCTCATTTCCTGTAACTGTAAGAGAAGATCTCTTTTGCAGAATTAGTATAAAGAAGAGAGTGGGAAATAGAGGGCAATATAATAGGAAAGTAGAAGGGGGAACCAGCTAGAGGGGGAGCATGGGGGAGCATGGGGGAGCATGGGGGAAAGGAAAGCATGAGAATGGTAACGGTACGTAAGTATGAAGGTGTCATAACAGAACCTGTTACTTTATGCTCACCTAAAAAGGTTAAAAAAAGAAATACCTAGATGCCTGGGGGTGGCTGTGCAGGTTAGAATGAGAATGTCCATAGGCTCACATATCTGAATGCTGTCACCATGGAGTGGAACCATTTGAAAGGATTACAAGAATTAGGGGCTGTGGCCTTGTTGGAGGAAGTCAGTCTTATGAGTTGTTTTGGGCCAGGTGGTGGCACACGCCTTTAATCCCAGCACTCAGGAGGCAGAGGGATCTCTGTGAGTTTCAGGCCAGCCTGGTCTAAAGAGCAAGTTCTAGGACAGCCAAGGCTGTTATGTGGAGAAACCCTGTTTCAAAAAAAATAAAACAAAACAAAAACAAACAAAAAAAAGAGTTGTCTTGGTCACGGTGTCTCCTCACAGCAATAGAACAGTGTCTAAGACAGTGGCCATTATAAGTACCCTTATTTGAGACAGATGACCTAAAAACTATCTTCTTGGAATGCAGTTTGATTTGTTTAAAAAAGAGAGGAAGGCGGCAGATCTGTAGCTAGTACTGCAGAGCTTAGGATGGAGGCAAAGGGGGTTACTCTCCTGCTGGGCAAAGCAAAGCTGCAAGGTGGAGAAGACATCTGCTTTCCTCAAGATATGGAGTTCACTCGCCATTGTGAAAACCTGCGAGGAGCTGCCTGACGGCTGGAATCCCAGTACTTCCCGAGTCCGCACATCAGAAAAACCTGCAGCTTCACCATCTATTTAGTGGTGGTTCCACTCGACCCTCCCAACTCATTATCAGCATTTTACACAAGTACCTCTCAGCATTGTAGACTGCGCTCTGATCACTCTCTCCCGCCGGGCTGTAACCACTAGGGAGGTTAGAGCAATAGTTCAGACTGGTGAACTTTAGTACTGGCAAACATTTGGTGGGCCTAGAACTAAAATATGTAGGTCATTGAATGAGAAGACAGATTAGATTACTATAAACAAGAGAGAGGGAGCACTACCAAAGATACAATTCTTGTGAAATTCAAGTGCTGTTAAATGAAACAAAAATTATTATTATTATTCCTAATTTCTTTTTTCGAGACAGGGTTTCTCTGTGTAGCTTTGGAGCCTGTCTTGGAACTCACTCTGTAGACCAGGCTGGTCTCAAACTCACAGAGATCCGCCTGCCTCTGCCTCCCGAGTGCTGGGATTAAAGGCGTGCGCCACCACCGCCCGGGGAAAATTATTTTTAAAATGCAAAAAGATAAAATCATTGAGAGGAGAATGCCTCCCGCCTCAAACATTTTTATATTTCTTCTCTGTACTTCCCAACTAACTGTTCGATGCTGGAATTAGGGATGAGAGTGGGTGGTTGGAAAGAATGCAGGAGTGGGCAGCCACTAAGAGTTGGAAGACAGAACCGGGGAGTGGGGGTGGGTGGGGGGTGTTGGGGAGGAAGCAGGAAGAATCTGAGTTAGATGATAGGCATTCCCTACTCAAGAGGCCAAAGTACTCATCGCGGCTGCCCCATTACCTCATCGCAGCTGCCCAACGCTACGACACGGGCTCTGTTACCGTCCCCGCTTGCAGAAGACAAAACCGAGGTTCAGAAGGGAGAGGTGACCTTCCCAGGACGCAGAGCGAGTGCGGGAGGGAAGCCGCGTTCAGACAGAGGGCAGCAAGGCTGCGGAAACACCCGAAGCGCTGAGGTCCCGCCCCTCCACGCCGCCGGCAGCCCGCACCCACCAGGGCGGGGCGTCCGAAAATCTCCTTCCGGGCGGAGCGGCCTCCCCTCCCCCGGCCCGCGCCGCGCCGGGGTCCAGCG